GAGACTTTTATTAAGAATCAGAAAGAGAGTTGAAATTTCTGCGACACATTATGAAGACAGTGGGTTTTAAGAATTTGACAAGTGTAGGACATACTGAGAACATGATGGTTAGAGAGAAAATACCGAGTAAGCCTGACTAAAGAGCAAGTGTAAATCTGTGACCAATGAGTTCCCCGGAAGAAGAGTAAGGGGACAAATATTGCTTAGCTTGACAAATGATAAAATAGACTGGAGTTTGATAAAACTCTCACGCCTGTGTCTATGTGTTTGAATAGTATAACACTGGGGTTTACTAATAAATAAAAGGCAACATATATTGTACTATAAATAATAATAATAATAATAATAATAATAATAATAATAATACTGCTACCAATCAGAGAGGCTGATGAAAAAACGACCAAGTCAAGATCTTACGGAATTTCACTATCAAAACAGACATTATACTAGATTTTGTTTAATCGTAACATTACATATGGTAGTCATTTTATTACAATATTTGATTTTAATATAAATTATGTAGATATTGTACGATTATATAACAGGACCGAATGGTGTCTAACCCGATTTCAAAATAGGATTGAGAAATCCAGAAACATATCTTTAATATTACTAATCTAATAGATAGAAGATGCAAAGTAATTCAGGATTAATAAAAACAGTGAATTTAATTTAAAATATGAAATTTTCAAAGTTATGAATATAACTGATTATTGTATATGATACAATGATAAACAATACTTTCTGTTTGAAAGTGTTTTAAAGAGACATTCTACAAAGAACAAGGTACATATTTTTATCCACATTGTTACATTACGGCTTTTATATTAGTAACAACAAAGGGCAGTTGACATACTGACAGTCTTGACGGGGAGAGGATTATACATTTAAAACATGTTCCACTAAAATGATAGTGACAAGAACATATTACTAGAAACTACGGAAAACAGTTGTGAACTGTTGCATAATATCAATTCTCTTATATGACCGTGAATAAACGTCTCCTTCCAGATGAAGAGAAAAATGGGGCCAACAGAAATCTGGTTTTACAGAAGGATGCTGAGAATAAAATGAACGGATAGAGAAAGCAACAAAGAAATTCTGAATGAAAAGAGAACATTTGTAAGCAGAATCAGAAAGAGGCGCCGTCGCCTCTGTCTGTCTTTTCTACAAATACTTTCATGGTAATTGCTCAGTTGAGCTGCTTTCACTGGTTCCCAGACTTCATGAATTCAAGCGCCCTACGAGCCTGGCATCCCACTCTCACCCTTTCACTGTAGAAACTTTTAAATGTAGCCGTCTCTTCTACACCAATAGCTTCATTGCCTCGCACCTCTCGCCTGTGGAAAACTCTTCCCTATTTCCTTGAGAGCTATAATCTCTAACTATTCATATGTAATGTCAATCGACATCTCCAGTTACCTTGATCTATCCAATATCCCTTTCCTCATCCTCACTTCTACCACTCCTATCTGCTCTCGCTTCAAATCTTCTGCAACCCCCTGTATCCTAGTGGCTGTTAAAATTATTGGACACATAAAGAAGACTTGAAGAATTTTACTCTCACAGGAAGACAAAGTTGATAGGAAATGTATAAAAATCTACATCAGTGTTTCTCAACCAATGTCCACATGGCCGAAATAGGGAATGGCAAATTTCAGGTGGGTCACCGAAATTTTATAATTCTTAATGTGCCTCAGCTTATTGAATTGCCCACATAGTTTTTATTTGGTACTAGTCCTTAAACTAATGAAATTAAATTCATGTAACTAATTTTAATCTAGTTAGATTATGAACATCTAGTAATTGCTTAGTGTTTCAATAACTTATAATAAGGCATTGAAAATACCATTTATTCTAACTGTAGAAAGAAAATTAAACCATTTCAGTTTTATGCTCATTACAGTGATAACACTTCTACTCTGATATTGTGAATCCACCGGTAAATGTTTATAACTGGAGATATACAGAAGCACTTATTTGTGCCTTATTAATAATTAATTGTTATTTTAATTACGTTCAAGAAAAAAAATATATATGTATTTAGAAATTAGTTAGAAATAATTTTTACACTATACTAATTACATGGACCATATGAAAATACTGAGTTCCAAGTAGGTCAAGAGCTAAAAAAGGTTGGGAACCTTCCGTCCTAGATGACTAGCTCATGTGTACTGCTGGCGGAACGTGGATGGGGAAATTTGAGTGATAAACGTTGGTAAGATGTACAATGGAAAGGTGGTTGTGGCCGGCCATGATCCCCTCGCCATACAGAAGACCAACCTTGACAAAGATGGAAAAAAATGGTTTCTTTTAAATCCTTCTTCCATGAGAAATTTACCGCCCAGGCAGTTAAAAGTAAAAGCTGCTACACCTTTTGTTAACCATTCCAGGGAACCATAAATATAAATCTTCATCAAATCTATTCCTCTCGCCGTGTTCTTTATGCTTCAGGTTATTAACAATGCTACAGCTTTCTTGATAAACACACTTGGCTAGC